ATGAAAGACTGGCTATCACTCGTGCGGGGAAAATTTTCCAAAGAACGCAAAGTGTAACTGTCAACGATGGTGGCCAGGAAGTCTCGAAATTAATGAATAAGCATTTTAGAGAAGTTGGTTCACCTTTAATACACTAATCTACATCGCACTATTGAGACACAATCACGATAACCTCATAAGCAAACACGATAATGCTGCAGCCAGTAACACTATTCGAAGTAAAAAGACTATTCAATAAAATAAAAAATAAAAAAAACGTTGGCGTGGCACTGACGACCTCAAGCTAGTGCCCATGAATTATGTCTTGAAACATATAGGTTATTCTCTAACATCGTAAATAGTACATCAAAAACGGCGATATTTCCGGACAAGCTTAAAATTGCTTAAGAAACTCCTCTTTATAAAAGAGGCGGTGAACAGATGATACAGAACTACAAACCAATTTCGGTTGTGCCCATATTATCTAAAATATTCGAAGCGGTTTCAACAAAAATTAGATAAATTTAGTACAAAACATAATGTAATCAATAAATGCCAGTATAGCTCTTAAAAATGAAGACCTCCTGACCAGTCACTCGTAGAGGGGAAATATATGACAATGAAAAAAAATGAAAATATTCTATACACTTTAGGGTTCTTCCTAGAATTTAGGAAAGCCTTTGGCACAATACAACATAATATACTATTAGCAAAACTTCGATTGTATGGCACACGCGGTATTTTATTTATTTATTTATTTATTTTCATACTCAAGGTCCAGAGGCTCTACAGAAAGTAGTGGGTGATCCAAATGAAATCATTGGCAAACTTCTTGAAGTATGTGGCGTCCTGGATGGACACGATGGAGGCAGGGAGGTGGTTCCATTCTTTAGATGTTCTTGGAATAAAAGGGTCAAAATAGATGTTCGTATGACATGTCGGCGTGCCACCTTACACTGGTGATCGTTGCGAGGTGACATGTATATGAGGCTTGAAAAAGTAGTTGATCTTTTAAAATTGGGTTAGTATAATAGATTTTATGAAAAAGACAAAGAAGAAAGTAATTACGGCCTAAAGCGAGGTCAGGTAAGTTCAAAGTTGTCTTCATTGATGAAACACTAGCAGTACGAGAATAATTAGAAAGGATAAAGCGGGCTGCTCCGTTCTGGACTGATTCGAGAATGTGTGATAATATTAACATCTTGCAAACCCTGAGATGGGGAACGATAAAAAAACGGACGAACACAACAAATATTACATTACATGTAATTATATTACATGTCCCGGATCCCAAATGGAACAGGCGTATTCAAGTTTTGGCCTGACAAAGGTTTTATATACTTGCAGTTTGACCGGAAGATTAGCGGAACGGAAGTGGCGGCGTGAAAACAGAACCATACGATTAGTATTATTAGAGACATAGTCGACGTGCATCTTCCAGGAAAGGTTATGAGTTATGTGAATACCGAGATACTTGTATGAAGAAACAGCATCTAATGGTATATTATTAAGGATGTATATGGCAAGGTAAAGTTTTCTAGAGAGTTGGGAAACACGCATGCTTTTACATTTATTAACATTAAGCTTCATTACGTATTCAGCGCACCCGGAAGAAACTACGTCCAGGACTGACTGTAGTATAGCACAGTCTTGGGCATTAGTAATTAAGGGGTACAGTGCACAATCATCCGCGAACAATTTAATATATGAGGCAATTTGCGATGCGAGGTCGGTAATGTAGACTAAAAACAAGAGAGGCCCCAAGAGAGGCCCCAGAGAGGCCCCTGTGGTTCCCCGGACGCTACAGGAGTAGTAGAAGAATTATGCCAGTGACAGAAACATATTCTGAGTGGTTAGATAAAAAAACATTTAATCCAGCCCAAGATGTAAGGATCAATATTAAGTTTACTCAGTTTCAAGAGAAGTAGGTCGTGCGAGACAGAGTCGAAAGCCTTAGCAAAATCTAAAAAAATGCGGTCAACTATTAGCCCGGCATCAATAGCAAGCAACAGGTCATTCGATACGAACTGTGTTTCACAAGAAAAAAACCTCCGAAACCCGTGTTGATAATTAGTAAAAAAAGAATTGGACTCGAGAAAGGCTACAAGGTGAGAGTAAATGATATGTTCAGGTAATTTACACGGCACACTAGTCAATGATAAGGGCCTGTAGTTAAAGGGGGAGTGAGCAGTACCTTACTTATGCAAAGGAACCACCTTTCCTACCTTCGAATCGTTGCTTTGAATTTAATATAAAACTACCTTCGACATCGTTTGCAGTATGTTAACATTAATAACATTCTTTCGGACGCACTCGAGGTTGAATATGGCGTTTCACTGGGGACCATTTTAGGAACCTTGCTATATATTTTTTACATAAAAAATATAACAACCATTATAGGATTTCCGGACCTTTTCATGTACGTGCATGACAGCAACGAACATTCCTCTTCTACTTCCAACGTAAGCTTGGAATCTATGACGAGTAATTATGTCTCTGATCTCGAAGTTTCGCTTGAAATACATAAATTAGAATTAAACATTACGAAAACAAAGTATACCGTTTCTGCACCTGCATATATATGCGAGAGCACTCACATCCCATTATGCTGCAGAAACAATGTTATAGAAGACGTTAAAGAAGAAAAATTCTTTGGGGTGTGGCTTCATCAAGAGCTCGAATGGAATACTCACATAAAAGAATTAAGCACTGAACTATCGCAAGCCGTTGGATGCATATACAAAATAAGAAACCTTTTACTTATATGGCTGAAAACATGTATAGTATTCAATATTTTAGTCAAGACGATGTTACTTTATTTTAGTATGGGGCATGACGACGTCAAGAAATTGCAATTGGCTGCTCAATCTACAAAAGAAAATACTAAGAATATTTGAAAATTACAACGGCAGGTCTCAAGATATTTCGACAGAGCCACTTTCTAGTAAACATGGTCTACTAAAGGTTAATCAAATTTATTACTTCAGGCTACTGCAAACAATACACAGCGAAACGCTCTTTGAGATTCCTTCAGATGATGTAAAACTACACTTTTCTACACAAAATCAGAAGACATCCGAAAATACGCAGGCAGTATGCTAGCCAAACAGAAACATCTTAAGTGGAGGACATTCTTAACAATATTGAAGGTTTAATTGGCTTCAACTGCTCTCTTGTCCAGTTCAAAAAGATACTGAAGGCGCATCTAGTGAGCCTCGAAGTCGGTTTTTGATTTTCATTTTGGTACGAGTCATGTTTATGCTTGGTGTTCGTTGTTTCATAAGTTAGAAAAGAGTGTAAATATCTATATTTTGTTTTTCATTTAACTGTATGAGTAACTATTGATAAACCACTCTTAGCTTTTATTTTATATTTAATGTACATGTATGTTTCTTTCCGAAGTGTAAGACTTTTTTATGTGTTTTCTTGTAAAGTGCCAAGTTCCAATAACCGCAGAGGGGGCAGGGACCTCGTCAGGTGTCCAGCCTTCTGTCTCTGCCCACCTCCTGGTCAATCGGGGTAAAAATAAAAGAAAGGAAAAAAAGAAAGAAACCGTACTGGCGGAAGCAGGTCGGTCTGGTGTGAATATTGACTATGACGGAAAGGCACGACCACAAAAAAAGCTCAGCATGTAGTTTCAAAATTCAGGAACAGGGAACCCACCCGAAGATGCCACGCAAACGTGGATCGAAGGCTGGCGACTTGGAGAAATATGCAACATTACTTTTTGCCATGCACACTTCAATTTATACATACATGTATTGTCCAGTGCGTTAAGCTTTTTTTGACGGCGCTGTCGTTGAGTTCTTTGCAGAAGAAACAAAAATGCATGAATTCTTTTTTTTCATTTTGCCCGATTTTGACATAATTTCCCGTGAAATGGTGCATCTTTGAAGTATAGAAATGGAAAGGAGAAAACAAACTCGTCAGCAAAGAATGCTAGTGGGCAGTGGTGATGACATTGCACAATGCCACGATGGCCAACGCCATATATACCAGCAAGTTGGTACACACGATGTCATTTCTGCATTGTGCTGATATGGCAAACATGAAAAAGTGTGACAAGCTGACAGTGGCAAAGCAACAACCACCAATGAATCTTCTGAAGGCAAGATTCGCTCAACACTCCAAAGCCGTGCGACAGCACAACAACCGACGAGAGTATGATTTAATACTACGATACTCATGGCTGCAACCATGCAGTTAAAAAAATTTAAGAAAAAATAATGGTAAGCATTATTTTCTCGGCTTTCTGATACCTTAATTCACAACTAATGGGCACTGATTATGAGCATTGGATCCACCATCTCTCGGTTGAATGCTTAGAGGGAGGTGGTACAAAACTACCTCATGCAGTCTCACAACAACCCTAAAAAGCAGGCAAACCATGTTCATCAAAAACCGGTGGCCGTTTCCATGCTGACTTACGTTTCGGCCATTTCGCGCGCTTAGTTGTTGCTAATTGTTCCCGTTTCTGGGAATAAGAGGCGGTTATAACCAGCAGACAACTGCAGCAGTGTACTCTGCACGCAGCGAACAAAGCGAGCTGTCGGCCTCTGCGTTACGTGTTTTACTCTACCAAGCGTATTGACAAACGTATCTCTTTTTGAATACTTTTTTTTTAATATAACCTGCAAAAATAGAAGTCTTAAAGTCATTTTTTTCTTGGTCAGAAGCCTTTAGTGACCACACGGTCACGGGCTATATATAAAAGCCCATCGAACCTAAAGCATGTAGGCTGCAAAATAAAAATTCACTGAGCCTTATCTAATGCAAAATAGCTCAATCTACTTGGAAAATACCACGAAAATAATTCAGTCTTTAATCATCGTGGGTTAATCGAAAGTAACAAGTAATATAATTCGTTAGACGATACCGTAAAATAGTAACCTCAATGCTTCCCTCGTTAGTCCTTTAGAAACATAACGAATACGTTAGTACGTCACCACGCGTTACCACTAACGTCGCTACTCGAAACTCATTACTGACAACACTGCTCCCGAAGCACCCTCGAGGCCTACCTTGTCCGAGGCCGTGGCGGCCGTGAGGCAGGCGTGAAGTCCGTCGTACTTCCCGACGGTCACCTTCCTCGGCTGGATTTTTTGGTTCAGGTGAAACGTAAACACCGGCTCCAGGCTTTCCCTCCCTTTGTACGCCGCCATCTTTTCTGTCGGGTGCACCTGATCTACTACGCTGCCCGGAAGACCGCGTATCCAACTGGCGTTTTCAGCGTCCTCTTCCGCCCATTCACATCTACATGGGTTCTGAAGAGGCAACAAATGACGTCACAGAAGCAGGTCTGTCATGCTGGCGGATGTCGTCGTCTTGGTGGTTGAGCGTAGAAGTACTTGAAAAAGCACACGAGAGGACGCGATTGTCGCCGTCGTCGCGGCGTCCCAACTCGTGGTTGCTGAAGCTTCCGTGGGGCTGTCAAGCTGGAGGGAGACCCGCAGCGGAACAGACGTCTGCCGCAACTACCGTCGCTGTTGTGACACCGCCAGTATCGCCGCCGGTGACAGCCTGACTCTTCTATGATATCATCGGGCGGAAATCGTGGGACCACTTTTTGGGTTGCGTTGAACGTACCCAGTCAGAGACGCGTTCCAGGGCACCGTACCTGAGCGGGACGCGGCCGGTGTGTCATTGATCGCGCAACAAAGAACACACGAACGCCGTTGCTACGGCAACGCCAGGTGGCCAGACGTGGGACTTCTGCGCTCGTGGTTGAGCGCACATATAAAATTGGCGGCGACTTTTGTTTTCTAAGGACCTATAATAAGTAAAATAAAGTATAAATAAAAAAAACACTAAATAAAGAAAATATTTTTTACCTGCCTGAGTGGAATACGTATTTGCAGATATGTACGACCCTCATAACAAGTTCTCAAATTATTTGTGATCGCTTACTATTTGCAGTAATTTTGTACTCATTTTGTTACATTTATTAGGAAGTAATCTCAGAAGTAATTTCATAACAATTTCATGTACTAATATTACTGGTAGACGCTAATTATTTTTTCGCCTTTACAATTGCCTCCATTGATCATAAAAGTTTTCTACCAAAGAATCCTGGAACAAAATATCTGACAAGAGGAGTTTACCAAATGTGGTAGCTTAAAAAGATAAGTAGTTCGTAATTCGGCCGTTCAAATCCAATAATGGACAGTAAATAAGACCCGTTTTGAAACCGGTAGATATCTCTGTCGTTTTGAAGATTTGAAATATTCCGAAAAGTAACGATTACTTCCTCAAGTAACGGCCAATTACTTTATCCGCGAGAAAGAAATTAATCTTGTACTTTTTAACCAAGCGTATTCGTAATTTTATCGATTCGTTTTTTGAGTAACGTGTATGAAACTGCGCATATGCTACCGAATAAATCGTACCCTAGAAAATAAATCAACGCCATATTTACGCCACCATACGCAATTGAGGTAGATGTACGCTCGGCCCATGCCTACGGAAACCTAATGTCTCGTTGTCGCGGCGTCCGGTTCTTCTGGTGCATAAAGGCGGGAACACATTTGCGAAAAAACGAACCGAAAATCGGAGAGAAATCGGAGGCTGCGAAAATCGTAGCTTGCGATTTTCGGAAGACGAGCCACATGAGGTGGAATGCGCGGCGCGGAAATCGCAATGCGCTGCGGTTTTCGTGCTCCGACTTTAGGAGGCTGTGCGGTAGTCTGGCGAACTGGCGTCCCATATTTCGCGCCACTTAAAAACTTCAGCTATTAAAACCTCGTTGAATTCCACGCGAGCCTTTGTACCACCACATTTTGATAAAGACAGAAGGGTTTTCTACGAAGGTTGAGACGAGAACGCAGGGATGGCATACGATGTTGCCTCCGCTGCTTCCGAAGCTGCGTGAGCCGCCATGTTGCGAGCCGATCGTATCTTTTCGTTCCGTCTTGTTCCGGGCTTTCGCTCACCGAGCTTCTCCCCCCGAATTCGGAGGCGCCGTGCGAAAATATCTGGCGCTGCAGATCTTTCGGACCGCTCCCGATTTTCGGAAAAGGGGAGGAGCCTAGCTGCCGTGCGATTTTCGTGTGCGGTTTTCGCACAAAATTCGGCTTTTTTTCGCAAATGTGTTCCCGGCTTAACACCGCCTGCAATCCGGAGAACAAGTCGTTTGCTTCACGCGCAAGAGTTGCGGTGACGTCAGAACCACGCCAAGTTAAGATTCGCTTCGTTTGGAAGGATAGTGGCTAGACCTCAAGACTAGACACCTCAAGGTCTAGCCACTACGTTTTTTAATAAGCAAGTAAGAGCTCGGCGTTCTAACATCATCACAACACCTATGCAAGAGGCCGACGAACTTTTGCTCCGGATTGGAATCGTGCGAGAGGGCAATGACGGCACGGTGCGGCTCCTAACAGAAGCATTTGGGATGGACATTCTGCGCACCAGCCGACCGTAGTTTTCAATCACTGTCGGCTTACCTTAGTGTAGCACTGCACAAACCGTTCGGAGTCACCGTTGGTGCTAACGTTTCTACACAAGATACGGAAATCGAAAACGTGGACCCCCCCATGCGCTGACGAAAGCAGCCGCGACCATGTCAGTTCCAACATGAAGCTCAATCCACCAGCGAGCGAAGAGCATTGTGATGATAGGAGGAGCGAAAACTACTTCTCGAGTAGATTTTATCAGTTAGTGGCGTACGAGAATGTCGTCCCGTAGTGATTTCCTGACCTCCGAACCCACGGATGCTTCGTAGAATACGATACGGCACGGAGGTACGACATCCTCCGAGAGCTTTCAGCACCGGTCACACTGTTTATGCATCATTCAAAAGGCAGCCTGCCGACACCGTCTGAGATTTTCCAAGCATACACATGTACGAAACATACATGCTTGAGGTGTGAGATTATTATGCCATCAATTCTGCAGCGAACGGCTGCGTCACTGGTGAGATGTATGAACAGTGTTACCTTGACATGCGTCTGTCTCTCGCCACGGGATCACTCTACCATCCGCACCCAGGAACAGAGACCACGGTATCGAGTGATGAAAGGAAACTAGTTCAGTGGCCCGGTGAGCGCGTAACTCCTCACGCCGCTCCGTCTGCTTACGGGTGAACGGAAGAGAGTCTGAAATGCTGTATTCCAGTGGTAATGAGTTGGTGAACTGGCCAAGTTGGTTGAAGTCATACATGATGAGGAAAACAGCTCAGAAAACCCGGACTACGAAGAACGAACACGACGGGACAATGATGCACTCGCAGCTGAAGGATTTGAATGAAAGATGTCTCTGTTTCATATATTAAACTTCTTGAGTTGCGAGTACCAGCATTGTCTTGGCGTTTCGGTTCTTCTTCGTAGTCCGCGTTTTCTGAGCTGTTTTTCCCATCATGTAGTCCAATGGTCCTGGCCAATATCATATAGAACCGAAGCCTGCAAACCCCCTCCCCCCCCTCCCCTACCCACCCCATCCTTCCCCCATACGAGATCGATCCAGGCAGCACCGCCCACTTCGCGCCAGCATCAACAGCGCGTATTAAGCAGGGAACATATGAGCGGCAAAAACGGGCGCCGCGGGCTGATTCCCCTAGCAACAGCCCAGGACGCTGTAACGTGAACCTCTGCCAAACCGCCACGTCACAGCGTGCGCGCGAGTTGCCATGGAAACTGCCACGCGGCGCCCGTTTTTGTCGCTCTTGTGTTCCCTGGTTTACAGCGCCTCAGAACTCGCGCCATGCTAGCACGTGGCAATCAAGACTAACGCGTCTGAGGTCGAGCTTCACTGTGTTTGTCGCTGGGGGGAGGGTCGGGATACCGCCAACAATGACGTCAGGCGCAGGCTTCGTCTACTAAGTGGAATTCTCCTTGCCCGCTGTTGTCCAAGGAGCTTTAAATATTTTCATATTTTTTCTGTATCTGATTCATATGATGCTCTCAGCTGTAGGCGTGTGCCCCCCCCCCTCCCCCCCCCCCCCCCCTCTTCCGAAAAAAAAATAGTTTTCGCACCGAAAAAAATAAACTATGTACAGGAGTGTGTACCCCTTGAAAGAAAAAATAAACTCATTGATTGATTGAAGCTGATTCTCCGCCTAAATGTAGCACTAGTGGGCCGAACTACGTGCCACATTTTCAGAACTAAGCCTTGTCTCGTTCAAAAGTTATAGGTGATTTTCTGGGAATTTCAATGGGCAAAATGTGGCCTGGTTCCGCCCTGTTTTTCTTCTCTTTTTTCTTTTTTTTTTTTTGGGGGGGGGGGGGGGATTTACGTCATTCAGCTTTCTGCATTTGAAAGCTCAGTCGTCCGCCATTTTTCGATACAAACTTAAAAAAAAAAGAACGGCTTCACGAGCAAAAACTTCGGCGTCTACTTCGGACTGCTAGAGCTACATTAGGGCGGAGACTGAGTGTTCGGCGATGGGTAGCTTACTTTTCCGGCGCAAACAACCTCGTAACTTTTTTTTTTTTGGGGGGGGGGGGGGGGGGGGGAGGGGAGGTACGTTTTGTGAATTTTTTTTCTCAGTTTGATACCTATGTTTTCGCATAACGCATAACGGTGCGAACATCAAGAAGTTCCAGATGTCAAGCCCGACCGTGCTTTGACGCAAAAAGCGCGTAGCGCCAGAATCCCGACCGGTCGTGCCCTGATGGAGACCGTGGTCGTCGGTCGTGGCCACTTGGTCGTGTGACATCGTGAGGTGTTAAGCTTCGAAGTTGACCGCCGTGATTTTCCAACCCCCGAGTGTTTTGCCTACGGTTGTTTTCCCTATTTCTCGGCTACCATGAAGGCAGCTAGGCTATTTTTCCCACGCTGAGCTCGCAGGTTTTCCTCCCCAAGGTTGCTTTTCCCCTTTCCTCCAACTCATGTTTACCAACCGAAGCGCCCTTAGCGGCCCCCAACCGGTGTCGCGCATGCGCGATGGGGTGTGCGCAAGAAAGGCGACGCCTCGGATCAACGGGCCACTGGAATGTGATGTCGGCGTCGGTGTGAGACTCCGTTCTCTTTATCTCGTTTGAATCATTGATACTACATCTTCCTATCCACCCCTTACTGCTTTAGTGGCCTGAGCGAAATTACCCAGGCTCGTTACACCGCAAAACTCCGCGTAAACAATGTGACGTGCGGCAAATCATACCTAGTTTGTGTGATTTGAGATTTTCATGTGTTAACACTTCGATGCCACATGGGAAAATAGAACATTATGTAATACCGCCCAAAATGTAAGTAGTAAATTTAGAAGTGAACGGAGTACACAAAAGTTGAAGGTGAGAGAGGGAAAAAGAGAAAGAAAAACTTTATTTACAACCCCCGTGTCCGCGAAGTGAAATGTGAACAGAAAAGCATGGAAACTTGTTTGTATCCCATAATTATTTCTGATTATGTTTATTATTATTTCCTATATGTTGTCCAAGATGATGTTGCATTGGTAACGTCGTCATTGAAGCCTCGTTCGTTGTCCAGCTGCCGAGCGAGGATCCGCCACTGCTTGGAGTGGAGCAGGAACGCGTCCACGCACTCGTGTCTCCAGGCCCCACGCAGCTCGCGTTCCAATGGATCAATAAAATTCCTCTCCAGGCTCGTGCCGAGCTCGTACTGTGAAGAGACACGAGAGAAATGCATGCCTGTTGTCCTTGTTGCTCGGGGTTTTCACCGTAAGAGCCCGCAGCAGAACGACTCTCGCTATGGACGACCATAAATGTTTTAAGTCTATGAACTATCATAGTAATTTACAGTCTATAGGCAAGCGTATGCGTCTTGCAGTCTACGAATGACCATGTGTGTCTCACGGTCTATGGACAACCGCGTGTGTCTAAAGGTCCATGCACGACACCGAGTGTAGGATAATTAATGGACAAGCTTGAGCGTATTGCACTCTACGAACGGCAATAAGTGTCGTATGGTCGTCCATAATACTACATTTTGATTGGATTTTGATGGTTGTCAATCCGGCGATGCCTCCGTGCTCGAGGTGTTGCACCTACCCGATAGCACGGACACAAGAGCATTAACTGACCCAGACTGATATCCCTTTCACGCGGGAAAGTTTATAGAGGGTTTTATAATAGGGGCCACCAGTACTGTGGGTCACCGAACCAGCTTGGGATGTCGTAATGTGCATGCGCAGAAGGTCCGCGCTTGGCCAGTGCGACGCCCCAAGCTGTTTGGGGAACCTAAAGCGTTGGTGATAAACTCAGTTAACGTCCTTTCGATTACAAATTAGATTTTTCTCGAAGACCGTGCCACACGGAAAGTTTTATCGACATTAAACGCCACAATGATGATTATGCTCATTCGCTATTTTTCTAACGTATTCGAAAAAGAAAAAATCTAGTTTTCACGTTGAAAGAGCCTTAAATATACAGTTGAATATAAAGGGACGCAGATGTTGGATGGGAATTGCTCCTTCTATTGGGAAGGAGGTCGAACCTTCGCACCCCCAGTGGCTGAATTAAGAATTACACCAATGAGGACCACAACAGCGCCACAAAATATTTGTTTGTGTTTTGACGCAGAGTTCGACATTGGCTCGACTCACGTAGCCGAACTTCGCGCCAACGGTCGGCTGGGGCTCTTGTTCAATCAGTGAAGCCGAACGCGGACGCAGCAAAACATTGGGCACGAGTCTTGATTAATCCTTGCCCCGCGATCAATCGAGAGAGATGAAGTAAAGAATCCACTGCACTTGCCTTGTGTCGGTAAGCGCAGAATTACGCTGAACTACGCGGAAAACAAACTGCACGTAGCGCCCCTTATCGCTCAATCTCCTCGCCCAAACTCCGTTCACCCCTAAGCAATCAACCGCCTCCCTCTTCTCACGTGATTCCGTTTCCTGCGCTTGGGAATGTGATTACGTGGGCAAAGATAGGCGTGCGATTGGTCCAAGGAACATCGTATTTCCACCGCGCTGCTAGGTTTGGGGTGGACTGAGCATATTAAAGCCGTCTTCGCCGGATTCCACGCTTCAAATCCGATGTAAAATGGCATCTACGGCATCGTCTTTGGTACCAAATCTGAATGAAAGCCACGCATGTACCAGATCGCCCTTTTCTTATCACTGTTAGTAGTTGTTATTGTTTTTTTATTGTATGATGTAACACATTGTAATGGGAGAAAAACGAATGCGTATGTATTAACGCATGTAGATATCAACCTTGTTTGTGCACTTTTCAGTAAATACAATTTCGTATTCCTGGGAGGATCGATAACCGATTGTGTTACCGCACATCTGCTCAGAGTACTGAAAGCCAATGCTCCCTCTGCAAGACATAGGATTCCTGGATTTAATACTCGGAATTAGGGTGGAAATGCCCGTTTCCATCTGAATAAGCATGCATCGTACCGCCGTGTGCGATCTGCTATCACTACAGCGTGAGGCACGATAGCAACCCCAGACCAGCAGTCGCATTGCACTGTCTCCATGTTTCATATGCAGTGGAGACACTCGGATGCCCGCTTCCGCTGACTAACGTTCCACTGACCAAGGACACAGGCAACATGATTAATTTATATTTTATATTTGACCTTTTTACGGCGTTTCAGTCGTGCCAAAAGCAGCTACGATTGAGTTCCCATGCACGAACTCATTATGGAAGCGAGTCTCGTGTACTCAGCAGCGGTCGTCCTGAAATGTGACCATGTGACAGTTCGCGAATGGTATACGGCCCTGATATCACTCGCTATTTATAATATGTGTTTTAACGCAACATGTGTTTTTGTATTCATTTACATCATAAACTGTCATGCTAGACTGTAGCGCCCTACCGTCACTCGTAGGTTAAAGCTATATGAAGTTCATAGGGACCAGTATTAAAACACGAATTTAAGAAAAATCCCCAATGGTGGTAAATTTGAGACCAGTGACTTCCAACCAGATAATATACCGGCTGATGAGCAGGGCAGGAGTGTGGTGAAAGCAAAAGGTTCGCTTATAAGGTCAATTATTTACACCGGCTGAATTACGGTTGAGAAAGACCGGGGATAAGTAATATGTCAAGTAACTGACAGCTGAAGAACCGCTTCGCTTCTTATATTACCACTTCTTCCCTCGTGATTCTTTTTCGGCGTAATTATTGAGTAACGCCGCAAGCGATAATAATATGTTCAGGACACACCATGCCCTCCCTTCCTTAGGATGTCTCCAACTACGTCATGCACATGAGGCAGGCACGTAGCCAGAATTTTGTTTCGGGGGGGGGGGGGGGGGGGGGGGCACCCATCACAAAATGCTGTATGAGGGGGAGGGGGGATAGGAGGTCCCAGCAAAACGGACGATTTCGGGGGGAGGGGGGGGGGGGGCGGGCCCCATGGGCCTCCCCCCTGGCTACGTGCTTGACATGAGGTGTGTTGTTGCGCTCGCTTGGCACAGATAATCTTCAACCACATTTACGTACACAGAGCATGCTCGAGCCACATTTCAGCCGTATCACAGCTCAACACACTGCGTGTCGTGTTTGTTTTGTATGTTTCTCTACCTGTATGTTAGTCTGTTTGAAGACAGCATGGCTCGCGTACCTTCCGCATGACCCGGTGGATGGCAGAGAAGGCGGGTGCCCTGTCCGGGGCGATGAAGCACTTTCGGTTCGCGTGCAACATGGCGGGCGTTTCTCCCGAGCACGACTCGTGGAACCTGCAGTTGTCCTGGCGGTAGCCCCACCTGCATGTCAACAGGAGCATCTTGTCCGGGTGGGCGCTGAAGAGGATGTTCAGCAAGTCCTGGTCGGCCCAGGGGATCCGGCCAGTGTACTCCTCCATCAGGGGCGCCATGCGCGACACCCAGTCAAAGCTCCGCATGCGCGTGAGGTTCATGGGCATCACGCCGGCGTTCACTCCTGGGGTAGTAAAAAAATCCCGGTTGCTGCGCGCGTCTTCCATCGGTACGCTCTGCTGAGCACCGACAACACGTCATCAAACTAACCATGCATGGATTCGTGTGACGCCACAACGTGACGTGCCATAATGGTGTCACGCTACGCCAGGGAGTCACGTGACGTAATAGAATCACGTCATGATGCTACGTGATGTCACGTGACAGCGTGACGTTTAGCGGAGAGATCACCCCGCTATATTCAGAGGAAAATAGTTTCCGCTAAATTTATCAAAGAAATTGCACCGCAGCTCAGAGAACATGAAGCGAAACCTCGCGCATGCTAAATCCATGCATCCTTGGTCCAATATACCGATCTCACCAGTTACTTTTATAATGCCACCGCTGCTGGTATGAATAATGGGAACTGCCTCTATACACGCGCGAATGCTTCTCTGGAGCTCTGCGTGAGCCGAGTACAAGACGGCATGAGCAATCTCGTTCACTGGCGCGTGTCCCCTTTAAACTACAGTTGTTTAGCGTCACACATGCGTAGAACGCTCACAGATATCGGTCTATTCGCAACTTTCACCGACGGTGGTACCGCGGTGTGAGAATCGCGCTCCCTAGCTCCTGGATTATCGGCTTCCAAACGAGGGTGCTTGCTGAAGCCGGGGTCACACCGCTCATACATTATACAAAAGACAGTCTGCAAACAGGAGTCACCGCAATATCCGTGGTTCCAATTCTGTGTGCCTAAGTCTCACCTTGAACGAATTGTCATGGGGCATTCGAAGCACGGATCTTGCGGTGACTGCCGTTTGAATTTCTCTGCCTGTCTTTTGTATGATGTATCAGCAGTGTGACCCCGGCTTTGACACTTCCTGGCGTTGAACTATTAAGTACGGCTCTTATATCTCTCGTATTTCACAAAACTAAATTACCTACGCGACACAGACCCAACCTCGTCCTGCTCTTCACCGACGACTTAAGGAACGTAGAATCTGCCGCGTCCCGAGCAAATTCTTTGTTGATTGGCTTTCCAGTAAAACTGTCAGCCTTTCCACTTCGGTGAAGAAGGAAGAGCAACGGAGCTGTAGCTTCTGTTCTCGGCGGTGGCTTTCCAGGCGAGCGATCTGCTCTTTTTTCGCAAGGGAATCGAAGTGCTCGACGCGGTGGAACTTTAGGCGATAGCGGCCTCACGGCGGTTGTGCAACCACTCGCGCTGCTGCACACATCGCCGATCGTTCCGTTCCCGCTCTTCTTGCTCCGAAGAAATGTTGCCGCCATCTATGAGCGACAGCAGCAACCAGTTGTGTGGTTTCCGAGGCTGTAAAGGTTACCGCGATCTATGAGCGACGTTGACAAGCCACTGATCTCTATGACAATTGCTGGATCGCGCTTCCCCGCTTGTTCGCTGCAACGCAAGTGAAGCCACCGGATTTCACTCGCTTGGGATACGATTTGCCGTTTTTGCTAGCCTTTGCTGCGGTTTTCCAGCGTGCTGTAGACACGTTTTCTACTCGTTCGTCGTCATTCGCCGAAGACGTTTTTTGGAGACTCTGTGTATTGCTGAGACTTGGCGTTGTGAACACGGAAAATTTTACGAAAGTGCAGTGTCGCAGGAAAAAGGCACAACGCGTCGAAAGGAAGGGCTGGCGGCGTGTTCAAAGCTTCCTTGGAACGCCGAAGTGCCGTGTCTCTGTGCCTTCGCACGCTTGGATACCGACCAAGAACCGACGCCGTGTGTATGTGTTTAGCGAGTGCAATGTGCGTGAAGCTGTTCGTGCCTCTGGATCAGCGTCTTTTCCCCTCGCGGCTTAGGAACGAGCTTAATCCAGCGTCCACTAGCGACGGAAGATGGGGGGAAGGTACGTCTTTTTTTCGTCCTCAGACGATTTACACAATACCGTGCACAACAGCTCCTCATCGCTGATCAGTGCTGGCTTATTATCAACCTACTTAATTGCACTTGACGTTTGAGCGCGGCTCGCCTAATTGTAATTGGTCAACAGATTGCACACGACCATATCGGCCGCGCTTCAAAGATTTTCATTCTCGCCGTCTTGTACTTTTGCTTTCGAAAACCCCCCTGGCTCCACAACGTTGCCCTATTCATGCTCCCACGTAATCCATTAGAGTAGATTTGGAAAATAGCCATGGTTAATAGTACATAAGAACACGCACAGATCTCCCCCCCTTTTATTGATAGCAACTCACCGGAACACCTGGACGATCCGGAACTCCGTGGCCGATATATATATATATGTATATATACAAATGATCTAAAGGCCTCTACGCGCGACACACGTTCAGAACTTTGGTGCGGCGTCAATGCTTGCCCGGTATCCAAGCGTGCGAAGGCACAAAGATGCATCAGTCGGCGTGCCAAGGAAGCTTTGATCACGCCGCGAGACCGGCGACACGTTTTCGACGAGTTGTACCTTTTGATACGGCTTCACGCACATTGCACTCGCTAAACACATTCACACGGCGTCGGTTCTTGGTCGGTATCCAAGCGCGCGAAGGCACAGAGACACGGCACTTCGGCGTGCCAAGGAAGCTTTGAACACGCCGCCAGCCCTTCCTTTCGACGCGTTGTGCCTTTTTCCTGCGACACTGCACTTTCGTAAAATTTTCCACGTGTTCACAACGGCAAGTCTCAACAATACACAGAGTCTCAAAAAACTTCCTCGGCGAATGACGACGAACCAGTAGAAAACGCATCTACAGCACGCTGGAGAACCGCAGCAAAAGGCTAGGAAAACGGGAAATCGTATCCCAGCGGGGTTGCGTCCGGTGGCTTCACTTGCGGGAGCGGCAAGCGTGATCCAGCAATTGTCATTGAGATCAGTGTTGACAAGCAGACAACCGGCGAACACAACGCTCTGGACTGCTGCCGCCATATATGAGCGACGGCGGCAACCAGAGTGTTGTGTCAACCACGGGTGCCGACATTCGTTTGGTACCGGACACGATTCTGGAGAAACTAGCCCTTAACAACTCCGAGGTTAAAAAAAAAGTTGGGTCATATTAGACACTATTTATTTCTTTTTTATTGGTTTAAACCAATTTATACCTTTTGGTGGTGCAGGTAGAGAGACAATTGTTATTCTTATTCATTTTAGCTCTGGCTGAGAAAGTTTAAATGGTGAAAATGTCCTACGGCGATCATCTAGATGACAGCCATTTTGATAGCAACTAAGGCGCCCCCCACAGGCCACGAAAGTTACAAATTCCCACCCCTGCCCGTTTCAATCTTCATGAGCATCGTATCGCGATGCTGTCGTGTACCACTACTGCGTGACACATGTTCAAGAACCGAGGCTAGCAGCCGTACTGCATTAGATAAATATCTTATATACAGTGTAAACCTCCGCCGCCCTAACTCAGAGGCAGACCAGCCTTACACTGTATAAACGCAAAGGCAATTAATGCCGCTCTTCAGAGCGGCATTAATTGTTTACTTTTCTCTGAAAAGCGAAAAAAAATACAATAGATTAGACAAAGCTGTTGTTTTTGTTTTTCTTTTAAAGAAACCACAAGTTAGTGTACTGCGTGACACTGTTGGCGCGGACAAGCGATGTATGAATGTATGAAGCAAACAACCTTCGTGAATGCTTGGGGGGTGTTTCCAGACAATTCAGTTATTATATCTGCGGCAGACACCGTTTATTTTCCGCATTATATAGGCAGTGTGACTTTGGCTGTCCTCAGCAAAACCATTAGAGTGGTCGAAAGCGCACCAACCTAAATGATAAAATTTAATGCATGCTAATACCCTTTTTGTGCAACATGAGAAAAAGCGGCCATGGCATAACCGTGCTGACATTAGGGACCTTTTGCAAACCGTTGCCGTGCTCCGCTTACCGCACCAAGGGGGCCTTTGAAACATTCTTTTTTGCGCGCGCCCCGCGGTCACGGTACGACCCGGGCGCGCTTGAAGGCATGCTTCAAAGGCTCCGCTAGTGCGATACACGGAGCACGGCAACGGTTTGCTAAAGGTTTCTATTGTCCCGCAGTGTATGTACATACGTACCGAAAGGTGCAGGGTAAGGGTGTTTGCCATGCTGTTGGTACCAGTTGGTACGCACGTCCTCAGTCTCATAAGTAAGGGCGGTGAGATGACTCTCGTTCATCCTCTCGAAGACGCTCCAGAGTTCCTCGACAGGGCTCAAAAAGAGGGTGTCAGCGTCCACGTACAAAACCGCATCCTCGTTCGGTAGCATCTCCTGCAAGTAACGCCGCACTGAAATCGACATCAAATATCACAATGTACATGTCCTCCTTTTTTCCCTTTTTTTTTTGGGGGGGGGGGGGGGGAGAGTATGATAGTGTTTTGTGGGTTATAGAGGTAGCACCTAGAAGACAAGGGCTGCGTCTCCCTCTCCCAACACTGTAAGTAGTGGGTCCACGTAGCGCCCCCTGGCTTGCGCGACAATAGCACATAGTGACGCCAAGGCAGACGCGTCTCTCGTCGAGCTTCGGCGTGTTTGCCGCTTGGGGGCTTGTCAAGGATCCACCAACGATGACGTCATGCGCCAGTCTCATCTACTACGCGGTATCCCTTACAGTCGGCAAAAAGATGGAAAACATGAGAGCTATTGACGCGGTATACTAAGCAATGGGGCCTGGAGCGCGGCTTCGACTGGTGTGCTCACCGTCCTATTCCTCCCCTCCGCATCAGAGAGGTCCCAAATGGACGGCCGCGAGTTAGGTCACGAGAGCCTTCGTCTCGTGCCTGTCGGACGAAGCGATCCTCGAGGTTGGCGGTAGAAATGCTGGCGAAAAAAAGGCGAGCGGACTCAAGGACCGCTATCATTGCTGCACCCCATTGCGTGCTTGATCTTGGTTTCATTCAACAGTCTGGCTGCGGAACGGCCTGCAGTGGAAGAATCGTCTATATCTATAATGTCATCAGACGGAAATCGACAGTACACTTCCGATGATGCGGTCTAAAGCCACCTAATTAAACATATTCATTGACCGCGGTTACCATGCGTCAATTCATGGTTGCCAAAATGAAAAAAAAAAAAAGAATCGTCAGCGTCTGTAGATACAAAATAATGTTTATTCGCGCGCTATGATTACGAACGTCCGGAGTATTCTCAACACTAAAATTCATCAAAGCGTGAAAATTTCAAACACTCTTTAAACCACATTTTGAGACAGTCTAGTTATGGCCATAACTGAATCTATGGACACTTAGCATAAAAAAAGGAAAGACGTTTACAATTCCCTGTAATAATGAATTAGAGCGCAGCTCTTGAGGAGGAGGAGGGGAGGGTACGGAAAGGATGGTATGCTTCTCCTCCTCCTGCGTACCCTCTCTCCTCCTGCCCTCTTTCTCCCCTCCTCCTTCCCCTCCTCCTCCTCTATCCTCCTCCTTCATCCTCTTTCTCCTCCCCTCGTCCTCCCCTCCTACTCCTTCCCTCCCTCCCTCCTCCCTCGAGACCCCAGTGACCGTCGTGACGTCACTCGTAAAGGTCGTGACCTCCGTCGTAACCTTCACAAGTGACCTTCATGACGTCATTCGCGACGTCACTCGTGGCCCCCATGACGCCAATCGTGAACCTCGTGACGTCACGTGTGACGTCTATATGGGAAACGTCCCAGAATGCAACGCGCGGTTACGCCGACGGCGACGCCGCTCAAGCCGGAAGCGGGCTCCCAGGAGCTGAGGTCTAAGAAAACAAAAAACATTGCATTCATACGTGGCTGGTTTTCCTTTTAAAATTTGTATAAATGTTCGATCACCGCGGAACTATCACAAACATAGAAGTTTGGGCTAGTTGGTATTTCATGATTAAACATTAGAACAGCGCAAGGACACGGACAAGAACAAGAACGTAGACGAACAAGGCGCTGACTTACAAATAAAGTTTATTCGTGCTAACATCAAGTATAAATACTGTAACGTCATGACAAACAAACAAAGATAAAATACATATCTTGGACGCCGCGTGCTTCCTAATCACCGTTATGCGCTGTCACCGTGTGTCTAAAGAGGAACATTCCTTATCGGATAAAGATAGTGAAGGAGTGCTGACACAGTTTTCCCCCGATTTTCCAACTTCCCGCGCCTCAATAATTTCTCGAGTGAGTCTGTCTTTACTTTTCCTAATCACTTCACACTTGCCGAAGACGGGAGTGCAGCAGCAGTCACGGCAATGCAGGCCAAGGTGACCTGACACAGCTCTAAAAGCGTTATACTTATGTTCTCGCAAGCGATCATTGAGGCAACCCCCCCGTTTGCCCGACGTATCTCCTGCCGCACGAGAGAGGAATCGAGTACGCAGCTCCCTCCACACAAAGTTCACGAATCGGTCATCGTGCTTTTTAGTGAAACCCTGCTTTTCTTTAGAACAGGAGTTCACTTTTCTGCACACTTTTCTGTCCTTCCGTTTTTTTTTTGTTTTTTTTTGGTTTTTAATCACAAACACCAGAGGGCACCGTCGAACAAGGAGAGGCCCTTCTCCATAAAGCACCTGGATTAAGGCGTTTTTTTTTACAAGAACCGCCAACCATTGTTGCGGAAACGCGAGAGACATGTGCCACGATCCCCACGTAGCATCCAATGTCGTGCGAACATTCCCTGGGTGTTCTGAATGTTGAAAGAACGTTAAACACCATTCGGAACGTTCTAGGAACGTTCGTATGCGAACATTTCTTACAAGGTATGCTGCTCAACATTCTAAAAACGTTTGTTGGCGAACATTCGTATGCACAATGTTCTCGGAACGTTCCCCTTTGAACATTCATATGTGCAACATTCTTAGAACGTTCCCTTCCGAACATTCCTAGAATTTTCGCAGGTGGAGCCAACTTTACGGAGCTTTCAAGCAACCTGTGTTTCGAAACACCATCCACTATATGCCACTTTGTGCCAAAAATATGCAAATTAAGTGGAGGTTTTGGAAACTTAGCATAAGGGATCAGTTTTATCTTGTACGAGTGTACCGAGGAATGTGAGATAAGGTGTAGGAGAAAAGCAGTGGTCTTCAAAATTTGATAATGAGTTTGGCACTCACTGCGTATGTAGAGGGGCAGTTTTGAATAGACCCGATTTTTAGCATCTCGAATTTAATACCTTGAAGAAGGTATGTCCCGCTTGAGTGTGGGATGCCGTAGGTATCTGTTCTTATGCTCTGAGTGAGTAATCGGTTATGTATGCCGCACGTTTTGATAAGTAGGAGTAAACTGCCGTTATAGTACAGGCTGTGGCTAATGCGCTGGTAAAGCGTATAGGTTGTGCTAGGCCTAGAAAAAATATATTTCGATCAAAAAATATCGATCGCTCTTTGAGATTTAATATATCAATATATGTAGTACGGCTCAGTGGGGATGTAAGGTAAGCAAGGTATAATTGTGGAATCTTTGTA